GATGTGTAGGGTGAAGGGGATGGAGGGTGTGGAGAGACCTGAGGATGGTAGCCTGGAGTCCCCCAGTGTCCCTGGGGGCTGGAATGTTGTCCTGGACGCCTGCTTTCTGTACCACAGCCATCCTGGGGGTCAGGCCAGGAGTCTGTGGCCATCACTCCTGCCACGCTGGCTCTGGTGGGCTCCCAGTTCTGAGGCAGCCCCGTTCTGCCAACGGTTCTCTGTTTTCCACAGGGAGCTGGAATGGTGCTTCCTGACCAGCCCTGGGGGCCATGGCCATTCTGACCAAGACTCTGCCCCCTCCCTGGGCCTCAGCCTGGGCTGATGTCCTGCAGACTCAGAACCCACTCCCCACTCCTCATTCTCCCTGTAAAACATGGTTTCTTTGCCCCCCAGGTGGATTTCACACAAGGCTCCCCCCCTGCCCCGTAGGTGTCCCTGCTGATGAATGTCCTGACTCCTTGGTCTGGTGGCCGGGTCTGCTTACCATTGACAATGTTCTCCCCCACCTCACCGAGCCTGGCCTTGACCACGCTCCCACCTGGTCCTCAGTCCTGGACCTAACATGCCTGTGTTGGCCTAAGTTGTGTCCCCGAAATTTGTTGTCTTAAAGCCATGACCGCAGGACATCAGAATGTGACGGTATTTGGAGACGGGGTGTTTGGAGAGGTGACAAGGTAAAAGGAGTCATTAATCCAATCCAGTATGGCTGGTCCTCAGTATGGCCTCTTCTCCTTGTAAGAGCAGATGATCAGGACTCAGGCACACACAGGGGGCCGGCCACGTGAGGCCAGGGGCAGAGGCCCCAGCAGGCTCCCACCCTGTGAGGCCTGCACCTCTCCCTGCTAATTCCCAGGGTTGTGAAAACAGAAACGTGTGTGGTTGAAGCCGCCAGACTGTGGCTCTTTTGTCTGGCTGCCCGTCCTGACTAATACACACCCACCACATGCTTCTTGCTTCTGGCCACGGCCAGGGCTGGCAGTCCCTCCTGCACCCAGCCCCAGGTGACCCCTGGCCCTGCACTCTTCCCGGCTGCCTTCCTCACCCACTGGGAGCCCCCGGGGCTGTGGGGTCCTGGCCCCCCATGGCGGTGAGTTGTGGAAATTTTCAGGATAGTTTATTGTCATTGAAGAAAAAGAGAAGAAACAGTAAAGGACATTATTGCGCTCCAGAAGTTTCAAAAGAAGAAACAAGCTACCCAAGCTACGACTGCGGGTTTCCCTTGAGTGATGGGTGCGCATTCTCTCCTGGGGGCACGGGGGCTCCTGCACGGCCGTCTCTCCCATGTAGGGGCTCTGACCTGGCACTCACTCAATGACCAGGTGAGAACCAGGCCTAGGGGTCCACCTGTCTCAGGCCCCAATGCCTGGGGGCTCTCTCTGGTCATCTTGTCTCTGCCCCCTGCTCCCCAGAGCAAGCAGGCATTCCCCCTCAGCGTGACTCGGGTCCTGGGCACAGGATGGTGCAGGCTGGGCCTGCTGTCCTGGCCTCCCGGCACCCACCCACCCACCTTTGTCCACTGAGGCTGCATCCCATTCGCCTTGGGACCAGGTCACCAGGCCCCTCTGCAGGAGGCCAGTCTGACTGCCATCACTTCTTCCCCAGATGGTGCTGCCCTG